CTTTTTGGAAATTAGTTGCGGTGGTACTTATCTCACCGATCATATGAATAAGGCCACATAGCACGCGAAAGAAGAGATTTAAAGAGCCAAGTGCTCACCTTTGCCCTAGCGTTGGCAATAGAGGAAGGGAGCACAGAGTCCTTGAATGATATTAGAACAGTGTCCTCTAGCTGATTCTAATGTGTGTATTGCATGGACACATGCCCCTGTGCAAAAGAGATGGGGGAGGGAGAAAGCCGCCCAGCAGGAGAAATAAACCTTTGGTGAGTTCAGCTGCAGTTACAGATCTCCTACTACAATATATCTTGGCCTACACTGGGCTGCCTCCTTAGGTAAGAAAATAGAAGCAATCAGAAGAGGACAGCTACAGTGTCCCATGACCACATCTGCCACTAAAGGGCCATCACTTCCTGTGCCGTCCTCCTGTATTATGGGTGGATTCTCTCCCTCAGAAGGCCAGCCTTTCATCTTGTGCACTAGACTGCATCCTTTCGTGACAGGGCAAGGCAGTGCCGAGGTTCCTCCATCTTGTACATTTGCTCTTTCAGGTTTAACTAGAATTTGATTTCCTCGATGGAGAGTCCTATGGAAAGCTACCCAACTCTGAGAGCACTTGGGTGTAGCCCCAGCTGGCTAGAATAAAGACTTTCCATTGGCTAGAAGCTGTGTCTGAGTGGACTTCTCTGGTGGGCTACCTTTAACACTCTTCTCCTTAATGCCAACATTCAAACACTTCTCTGTCATCTATATTAATAATTTCCCTCCTTTCCTAAATCACTTCCAACACTAAATGAGTATACAAGAATATCTTCTGTCTTTAAAACCACCACCCACCTAAAACACATTCTTTTTTAAAGAATGAAGGCGTCTTTTTCACTAATGTATCCCTACATTAGTATTTCCCATTTTTTTCTTTATTTTTTTTTAAAGATTTATTTATTTATTATGTATACAGCATGCGTGACTGCAGACCAGAAGAGGGCACCAGATCTCATTACAGATGGCTGTGAGCCACCATGTGGTTTCTGGGAATTGAACTCAGGACCTCTGAAAGAGCAGTCAGTGCTCTTAACCTCTGAGCCATCTCTCCAGCCCAGTATTTCCCATTTGTACATGACTACAACAGAGACTGATTTATTAGCTAGAAACAAAAAAAAAAAAAAAAACAAAAAAAAAAAACAATGGTAATGATACAATTGTAAAATTATAACAATATACTCTTTTTCTATTTATTTTTTATTTTATGTGTTTTGCCATGGGTGTCAGGTCCCCTGGAACTGTAATTACAGACAGTTGTCAGCTGCCACAAGGATGCTGGGAATTGAACCTGGGTCACTCTGGAAGAGCAATTGGTGTACTCAACCGCTGAGCCATCTCTCCAGCCCCACAACGTATTCTCTAAAAGGCTATGTGGTGCCTCAAAAGCTTTTCTTCTACTTTATTGTAATTTTTGGAGACTGAAGGTAACTGAACTGTAGAGAGTACACCATGGAAGGAGCTGTAATTCCACAGTCACCAAACTGGACCAAATTAAAATCGTCTCATCAAAGGATTATCATAATGGTCTTGTAGTGTGGCCTCCTCCTTCCTCCCTGCTCTACATAGTCCATGGCCAGGTACCATCCAGGATGAGGTGTTAAGAAGTAAAGGAGAATCGGGTCCCCACCTTGCTCACAGCCAAAGCCCTCCTGCTGCTCCATGGACTTGGGTGAACAGGGTGTGACCAGGGCCTTCCCATCTCATCTCCTTCCGCTCTCTACCCTTCTCTCAACTCTGACCACAACTTCTTCCCCACCCCCCAGATATTACCGCATGTACTTTGACTTCTGAATGTTTGCGTTCACACAATCTAGTCTTTTGCCGGTCTCAGTCCTCTCTCCTCATCTTCTATTCCCAGGCATCCTCCTGGCTCGCTTGTTTATCCCTTTAGATTGGGAACTTCTCAGGGTACCTCATGTAATTTATAATTCTTATCTCTAGCTATCTTATTCTGTCCTCCCTCCCCTTGAGTATTTCTTACCGTCTGTGTTAGCTTTCTGGTCTTTGTGACAAAATGGCTCATCAAGCAATTTAAGGAAGGCAAGGTTTATTTTAGCTCACAGTGTAAGGGTTTTAATTCACCATGGTGGGAAGGGTATGGCATAGCAGTGTGGGCCCCCATGTCAGAAAACTTTGCAATGTGCCAGCTCCCCTCCCTGTCAGAAAACAGAGGTGAGGAGGGAGATGGGGAGAGGGGCATGGAGGGTAGAAGGGAGAAGAGAGAGAATATGGCTACACTCTTTCCGTTTCTGTCTCTTCCCTTTAGACAGAAAGGCTCTTCCACCTACTGGATGGTGCCATCCACATTCAGCACAAGTTTTTTCCTAAGTCAGTTCGGTCTAGAAATTCCTTTGTAGATGCACTCAGAGGCATGCTTCTTCAATTCGCTGAGTGCTTTAAAAATGCAATCAAACTGACACTCAGTAGTCACATCATACCACCTGACACACTGGGATTTGCCCTCCCTTATACCTCTTCTCCCCCAACCGTAATCTAAGCCCCTCAGGGCAGGAATTGGTTTGGTCTTCCTTTGTCCTGGTCAGGCTTTTGTCTCATTGTTTCCAAATGCCGGAGAAAAACCAGTCACAGAAGGAATTTTTTTGTCCCCCCTCAGGGTGTCGGAGGGTTCAGCCCATCCGGGTTGGGAAGGGTGGTGGAGCCGAGCATCATAATGGACAGGAAGCACAGAAAGGCCACCCTAGTCTCATCCCTCTGATTCTGTGATAAAACAGCTCGAGAAAAGGCCACCTCAGGGAGAAAGGGATTATTTTAGCGCACGCTCCAGGTCACAGTCCATAAAGCAGCCAGTCACATCCCGTCTGTACATCTGGAGTCAAGAGAAAGGAGCAGTGAGTGAATGTGCCCGTGGTTACTGCACTGCCCACGTTCTTCCTTTTATACTGTAACTTTCAGGCTGGGTCTCCCCACAGCATCAAGACAATCCCTCCCAGATGTCCCCACAGGCCAACCTAAGCCACAGCGTCCATCCCTCCCTGATACTGTCTTCTCAGCTGACTCTAGATTGTGTCGACTTGACAGTTAAAGCTGATCACCGGAGTGCTCCAAGTAAGATACAGTCCAGGGGGCACACTTCCTCTAGCTAGACTCCCCCAGTAATGCCAGCCTATTACAAAACCATCAAGGCACTCATCCATTCGCTGAGTCGGAGCTTCCACATTTTAATCCTCTCAGAAGTGCCTTCACAGACACTCGTAGAAGTACGCTTTACCAAACTATTGGCCTTAATCTAGTCAAATTAAAAAATGGAGGTTAAATTTTGTTTGCTTGTTTTCCAAGACAGGGTTTCTCTGTGTCGTCCTGGCTGTCCTAGAACTCGACTGAAGAGGTTAAACTCTCCCACTCTCACAACTGAGTTTATATTTCAGTTCTCTGAGAAGGGCAAAACAGGTGTCTCTCCCACAACACCCTTGCACTCAGGAATGGGAGAGAACAAACACAGGCCTAAGTTAGGTCAGCCCCACAATGTCTCGAGGATAAATCCAACAGTCCTCTCCTGAGTCACATCCGAACTTGCCCAAGCATATGCAAAGATGTCCAAAATTGTTAAGACTAAATCTCAGCGAACTAAGAGTATACTAATGTAACTGCTGTGTGCTTAACCAGTTATACATCAGGGGACCTGACTGTCCCTGAAACTCCCCTTAGCTGTGTTTAAAAGGAGCTTTGCACGCTCCTCTTGGGATTGTCATCGTTTTGTACAGGTGAACGACTCCTGCATGCTGTGGGATGTCGTTCTGTACGCTGTGAATATGTGTTGCTCTGATTGGTTGATAAATAAAATGCTGATTGGCCAGTAGCCAGGCAGGAAGTATAGGTGGGGTAAACAGATGAGGAGAATTCTGGGAAGAAGAAGGGCTGAGTCAGGAGTCACCAGCCAGACACAGAGGAAGCAAGATGACAAGGCAGAACTGAGAAAAGGTACCAAGCCACGTGACTAAACATAGATAAGAATTAAATTATAATAATTTAAGTGTAAGAGCTAATCAGTAATAAGCCTGAATTAATGGCCGAGCAGTTATAATTAATATAAGCCTCTGTGTGCTTACTTGGAGGACTTGAGTGGGAGAGATCTGTCCTAACCGCCAGCTGGCTGGGACACATAAAAGCTTCCAACTACACCTGCATGCTGGAATATTAATAAATGTTCTTTGCTTTTACATACTATTTGAGTCTGTGGTCTTCCTTTAGCATTGCCTTGGACCCTTACATAATGTGTAGGCCAGGCTGGCCTTGAACTCAGAGATCCCCCTGCCTCTGGACCCTGAGGCTGGAATTAAAGGTGTGTTCGAACACTATCTGCCAAAAAAAAAAAAAAAAATTAAGAAAATATTTAAAAAATTTAAAATTTAAAGAGTAAAGATAAACAATCAGTCTTTTTCACTAATGTACCCCTAATACCTACAATAGTGTTTGGCATAAATTGGAGAATCAATTGAACAAATGTCGTATTGCCTTGAATAGTTATTGAATTTCTGTTGTATGCAAATATCAACTAAATAATAAACTTTCAAAAGAACAAGTCAGTAATTTTCAAAAGGTTCACACTTGGTCCAAGGTTGGTGGCTCTGTTTGGGAGGTTTTGGAACTTTAGGACATGGAGCCTTGCTGGAGCAAGTATGTCATTGGGGAGGGCTTTAAGAGTTTATAGCATCCCCCTACTGTTATAGGATATTCACCAGAGAAGACTGCTTGGACATGGGTTTAAGCCAACAGAAAGTCTTTATTAGCTGGCTGGGTGTTCAGGATGCCAGTGTAGCCCTGAGCCTTTCTCCAGGTGAGTTTTTAAGCACAAAAACCATGTTCTGGGTTGACATACTTCAGTTAACAAGAACAGTTAGCCAGAAGTGGAACTGCAGAGGCTAAAAAGCAGTTAGGACAGTTAGAGACTTTCCTGGAACTATGGACTTTGATGGATTAGGCCTTTGTTTTCATTTTGGCAGGTGGTGCTGTCGATGTGCTGAGTTTTGCAGACTGAATGGTACTTCCATCATGGAGTCAGTTGTGCTAAGGTCTAGGAACCTAGTAAGATCTGGGGTCCTGTTATACTACTTCCAGTTCTCTCTCTGTCTGCATCCTAGGTAAGTTGATATGTAACCTTTCAGCTTCTTGCTCCTGTCCCCATGCCTCTCCTGACATTATAGACTTAAGTTGCTGTTGGTCAGAGTGCTTTATTACAGCAACAACAGAGAAACTAACACAGTTATGGACCTGAACAGTATTTCTAGGGTGTGTTTGGAGCCATAGGCATAGGTCTTATAGTACTCCATTATTGGTACTGTAAAGCCTTTGCCTTTGGAGAACTTATAATCATTTTAAAAAATGAATGAGTCCTTGAGAGTGTGAGTGTAGTGGGTAGCCATTCCAGCTTTGATCTGGAAGTTCCAACCCCCATTGAGACTTCGGTAACTGTCATGCCTACAAGGCAGGGCCAAGAGAGGCGCCTGGAGACCTGAGATCTGGATGGGCCAGCGCTCTCGCTCTGTTCCAGGACTCTGGACGGTGGAGGTGGGCCAAGCAGAGCTCCAGAGAACACTGCTGGACTGCGATATACCTTCCCCAGACCCCGCGACCTACCTATCCCTTAATTTGAAAGTTACACCATTAAATAAATCTCCTTTTAACTACGTGGAGTGGCCTTAATAATTTCACCAATATGTGAGATCTTTTTTTTAATAAGCCATTTTGTAGAGACTACATTGAGCAAACTTATTTGCATACAACATGGTAACTCCATGTGGTTGTCCCATTGCTTTCTGAGCATTGGCCCACTTAAGCTTCAAACCTACTCTAAATAGCTGCTATACAAGCAAGGAGACTGAGTTTAGCAGGGAAATGCCCTGTGGCACTTCCCTTCATCCTACACCGCCTGACTTCTCTAGGGTCAATGACCAACCTACATAGTGATAAACTGCTTACACTCTATCTGCCTCTCAGAGAGTTGCATTAAACTCCTGAGGCACCACACACTATTTACATCAGTGAACACCACTCTGTCCCTTTATAAGAGATCTTTAAGTAATGTCAGCGGTTTAAGACATCTGTCACTCATGAGGTCTTTCCCTGCTCCCCAACCTGGTTCCTGGGCTCCTATTCTAATAGCAAGGATTTCCTTTTATTGCTAAATCTTGATGTAAGTGATAGGTGCTGCCGGAATATAGTCCAAGAATAGAGTTGTATGAGGGGAGTCCTGAGGGCTTGTGAGAAAACTCCAAGAAAACAAGACAAGAGTCTTGTGACCTCAGTTTCTTCCAAACGCAGAATTGTTCTTGGAATATGTTTTCTCGCTCCTCCCAGGTGTAGCGGACAGGAGTGAGTTTACTTCAGCTGTTGCTATTCAGGTGCCTCTATGGAAAACACGTTTCTGCCACACCCAGAGTGTCCTTGTGACTGGACACTTTACTCGCGTGACTCTTCTTAATTCTCAGAGTATAAATTGTCTGATGCTCTGAATAAAGTTGGTTATTGCACGAGGCTTTGGTCCACCTCATTTTTAGGCCAATTTCTCCGAGGTTCACATGGCTAACTAGGGCGGCCAACAAGGTGCTATTTAAGATCTACTTCCATAGAGTCCTATTTATGACGTCCAGACAGGTTTTATGATCTGAAGAGCTACTTTCACAGGCACGTTTACTGCGATGACCTCTGATTCAAAACCCTCTGGTGGCCACATGGAGGAGTGTCTAACAGTGTGATCTGTTGGTTAGCAGACAGGGACTAGAAATAACAACAGGACTATGACCTCCAACACCTAGGAACTTAGCACAGCGAGGCAGCATAGTGAGTGCTGGCATCTTTTATTTTATAGAAATCCAAACAGTGATAAATTACTCACCTGTCCTCAGTGCTGGAGCTCACTTGGGGCCATGTGCATGCAAGTGCTCCAACATTATACTATATCCCCCAGTTTTCAACTTCTGTAGAGCTGACTACAGTTCTGGGTACTGCTCACGGATGCTGGCTTTGGGTTCCATAGAATCTACCGAGCAACTTTCTGTACCAACGTTTTGCTATGATGACTATACACATAATGGTGGGTGTGAAATTTTTCTAGCATAGTTCCTGGTACAGTAGTCTGGCTCAAACGGAAGACATGACAAGTGTGTTACGTAATAAGAAACAAGGACAAACCATGTCTGGCTCATCAGGACTATCACATGTATATTAATAAGAGTACCTGTCACACATAAAATTGGAATTCCTTTTTATTCCCATATACTCCTTTACTTCCATTTCTCCTTGAATCTTGCCCGTATCCATTAACTGCCTCTAAAACCTTGTACTATTAAGTTGTCAACAGAAATGAGTCATGGTCCAGGCAGATGCCAATAATTTTGGGGGAAGGTATTAAAGAGGTTGTGATTTCAGTATGGGCTTGCTCTTACGAGCCCATTTTCTGCCTCCCCCAAAGTCTCCCAGTATGTCTGCCACTTATTTTCTCCCTCCATAGCCTTGCCCAGTGCCTCTGTTTAAGCTGGTTATGGATGTTCGACCTGTTAAGTGTTAGACACTCAACTTCTAAGAAGACAGGTTTGCAAGCAATATCCATCCAGCCTCTTCCTCCTCAGGCCCTTCTGCCCTTAGCATCGAACTGCCTTTTTTTTTTTTTTTTTTAAGATTTATTTATTATGTAGACAGTATCCTGCAGGCCAGAAGAGGGCACCAGATCTCATTAATTACAAGTGGTTGTGAGCCACCATGTGGTTGCTGGGAATTGAACTCAAGACCTCTGGGAGAGCAGTCAATGCTCTTAACCAGTGTGCCATCTCTCCAGCCCCTCAAACTGCCTTTGATGCGAAAGCAGAAAGCGGTTAAGTGAGCATACACACCTGCAAAGTCAAAGCCCCGGGGTTGGTTGGTCTATCCCAAGAAGGCGGTCCACCCAGGGAGGAAGTGGGGAGGGTGGGGAGGAGCCTAAGGGAGGGGAGGAGCCGGAGGAAGGTGGGGAGGAGCCTAAGGGAGGGGAGGAGCCTAAGGAAGGGGAGGAGCCGAAGCAGGGCAGGGAGGGGAGGAGTCGGAGGAGGGTGGGGAGGAGCCTAAGGGAGGAGTCGGAGGAGGGTGGGGAGGAGCCTAAGGGAGGGGAGGAGCCGGGGAGGGTGGGGAGGAGCCTAAAGGAGGGGAGTTGCTGCGGGCCACCGAGTCAGGTGCACTCCGGCATGGCTTTGGCCTCTTCCGGCGGCGGGGCCGGGTTGTTGCGTTTCCTGCGGCTGGTCGGGCAGCTCAAGGTGAGCGAGCGGAAGCGGCCTGGCCGGGATGCGGCGGTTCGGGCTCTGGCTCTCCCCGCGCCGCCTCCCCTCGCTCGGCGGTGCGCGGTGCGCGGCCTGGAGGTGCCGGGAAGGAGCTGGCGGGGCCCAAGCCGACGGCCCAGGCTGGACCCGGGACTGTGCACGCTCCGAGCCCGGCGCCGCCAGCTCTGGCCCCGGCGCCTGCTCCCCAGGCCGTGGGCGATGCAGCCGAGCTACGGAGGAAGACAGAGTCGGGGGCCCTGCACATGTGCAGTGGAGACCTTCCCCTGTGGCAGTGACTTCCGGAAATGACCGTTTCTGTAACACAGTTTCAGCGTGCCCAGGTCCTCGCCTGGCAGAGGTTGTGCAGACTCCCCAACGTTCCCTGATCACCGGTTCCCTGACCCTGTGACTATTGTTCGTGAAATTCTTTAGAAGCACAGAACTTCCAGGGAAAGTGTAGACTCACATGGCCATCACATCATGATCTGAATTTAAGTCTTGAGTGGGGCAGAAATTCCTCTAATCCTTCTGTGTCAGAATTAGGTAGTCTGTCACATGTTTATGTACAAAACATGCTATTGTTTCCTTCTTCTGTGAAATGGGTTTTTAGATAGCAAAAGCCACTACTCTTGTAGTTAGGAAAAACAGAGCTTTGGCTTTGTATTTTTCCTAACTACAAAGTACTTGTTTTGAGAAGAGGTTGGTAGCTCAGGGTCTCCGCCTATTGAATGCTGGGATTCCAGGCTTAACACCAGTTTTTCTTTTATGTCTAAAAACTTTGTATGTGTCCCATAGTTATACTTCAGTAGCACAGAATGATGACTTATTGGACTTTAGTATACTTGTGAACTGCGTTTTGCTCACTCACTAGTTTGGATCACTAGTTTAATAAAGCATTAAAAAAAAAAGTAGGTTTGAAACCATGCCTTGGTGACTCTGGGCATTCCCTGGCACTTTCTTGAAGAGCACCTGTTGGTTGTGTGGTGGTTTCCAGTGGTGGTATTTGTTTAATTCCTTATCTTCTTTATTAGAGAGTCCCACGGACAGGCTGGGTATACAGAAATGTGGAAAAGCCAGAAAGCGTGTCAGATCACATGTACCGGATGGCAGTTATGGCTATGGTGACCAGAGACGACCATCTTAATAAGGATCGGTAAGTTATTTGAACACTGATGCTTGTGAAGGTCTCAGGACCCTGTGTGAGGATTACTTCTGTTGTCAACTACAGTAGATTTTCTGTGGATAGAGTGTGCATTGGTCTCAGTGGAAACAAGTGAGAAGTTAGGGCCCTGAAGGTGAGCATGTATAAAATTGTATCTCTGCATTAGTATTTATTTTGCTTTTGAACTAGCTGCTTTTATGAATAGTGGTAACCATTTGTGAGGCCATGCTGTTGAGGTTGTATGGTAATAGGTATATAGATGCTATAAAGAGGCACCCCATTTAGTTAATCAGAAGCCTTTAAAATCAGAACCACAGGGCAAGAGTTTACATAGAAGACAGCAAATGAATTGGTATGGGCCTGATGTGGTTTCAATAAAAACCACAAAATAAGTTAGGGTAGGAAATTAGCCAGCTATTCATTTTAGTAATAGAGGGAATCCTCTGCTCTCGGTTGGTCTTCCTGGATTAGATGGCGGCTGAGTTGAGTTCTAAAGGGTTGGCACAATTGAGAAGTAGTAGAGGCTTTGCACGGAGAGAAGCTGGAATCAAAGCTCCAGTGGTAGGGAAGCAAAGTACTTTGGGAAAACAGAAGAAAGTCAGGTTGACCACAGCAAGGCATTCCCTATTGCTCTGCGGGTGGTGTGGAACATGGGGGAGTTTTGGCAAAAAAGAAATAAAAAGCACAAAACAAAAGTGAAGTCAGTTTGAGATGACTCAGTCTGACATTTGTACTGGACTAGAAAGAAACTGGAGGCAGAGAAGCCTAGGAGGCTTCGAAGACTTCGTTAATTAGTAGGACTGAAAAACAGCCCGCCCTTCCCCTTCCGGGGCACTTACCTCATTACTTGCCCCTGTGGTTCTGACGGTTATTATCGTAGACTAATAATCATAGCCATGTGTTAAATGACCAGTATGGAGCAAGAGCATGATTTATCAAATGTAAATCATGTATCTCCTTTATGAAGTACTCCTCCACACCCTTTTAGTGCTGCTGGACATCAAACTCAGGGCCTTGTGAATGGTAGGCCAGTACTCTACGGGCTGTATCTCCCTGTTACTCATTTTACATGATAAAATGAAGGGTGATGATAGGAAGCATTTTAAATTAAGTAAGTAATTTGGTAAACTTCCTGTAGCTAGTAAGGTCAGTAGCCAAATTCAGAGCCCTATCTGTTCAGCTGCAGCCATTATCCTATATGTAGATCATTTTGGCACTAGGACATTGGAGGAAATGATCGATTCTAAATTTTGTGTAAGTAAAACATCTCCTGGCTTTGTCATTTGACACTAGGAACTTATTAAAGTGAGAATTATGAAATCAACCATTAAAAAAAATTGAGTTTGCTCTATACTCTCAAGCATTGTGTTAAATATTCCCGAGCAGTTTTGATTCAGAACTAATGTAGGCTGGTAGAGCATAATTACTTTAGAAAATATTGTATTAAAATATTCTCTGAGTGGGGAAGAAAGAAAAAAAAAACCACATGCTTAAGTTTAAAATTAGTATAGAAAAGAAACTTGTAGTGACTGTAATTTTGTGTAATTATCCACCATTTCTCACCTGGTCAGATGTATACGCCTAGCCCTGGTTCACGATATGGCAGAATGCATCGTTGGGGACATAGCACCAGCAGATAACATCCCCAAAGAAGAAAAGCATAGGCGAGAACAGGTTGGTGCTGATCATTGGCTCTGCAAAGGACGCGAGGAAAACCTGTCGCTGAAGTGAAGAGAGGTCACCAGCAATAAGGGAAGATGGGGAAGGTCGGGGAGGTTGTGCTTAGAGTTTTAGGGCCAAGGTGTTATGATGGAGCTCATCCAATGATAGACAACTAGCTGGGTCTGTATAGAGTTTAGTACTTAATGGCTCACGTTTGGTGGGAATAGCCAGGGAAGGTCTTCAAGAGAGTCTTGAAGTAACAGTCTTCTCTCAGCCAGGGTTTCTTGGCCAGCAAAGTTGTTTTAGCTTATTCTCAGCATCGTTTTGTATAAGAATAGGGCTACATCCCTGCTCCAGCCTTGTTTGACACTGGAACAAATAGTCATGTTGGTGTCCGTTCTTGTTAGTGTACATGGAGAGATGGCATGGCTTTCATGAGAATAATACAAATAGCAGGGACTTAAGTCAGTTTGTGGAAATTATCCACCATGCCCCCCCCCCATACACTTAAACTATTTGGAGAGAAATTCTCTAAATCACAAATATATTTAGTATTATAATTACTATTTAGTAAGTTTTAAGTTAGTCCTTTAGAGGCTAGAAATTTAAAAGGTAAAAGAAAACATTTGCATTCATAGACATAAACAGCATTGATAAGATATTAAATCAAGGTCAATGGATGCTCTAAACTCAGAGCGCAGGATTACGAAGAGACATTTTTGAGGCAGAAACAGAAAAACACAGGAAGAAGGCTACCCTTATCCCTTCCTCCTTCCTCCCCTGCTCCTCGATCTTTCATTCCTTAAAGCTGAAGAGGTGATATTCAGTGCAATCGTTACTGCAAATGACTGTTTGTGTAGGCCCTTGAGAATGGTCCTAAGTTATTTATTGAGGAAGCCTTTACTGAGATGGTTTAATAGAGAAGGTGGGTTTAAGTAGCTATTTTCCGAGTTGATGGAGACTAGGCCTAAGTAGTCAGTAGGGCTTTTGTCCATGTAGAAGCAAGAAGATCCCATAAGGAAGGGGAGCTAATTTAGGTTCCAAGCCACCCTAAAATACAGGCAGGTATTCTTCTTCCCAAAGGACAGGTCCAAAATATAACCTGCGCATCATGACAGAAGGAAATATTTCTCAATATAGGTCCAGACTGTTGTGAAAAGAATTCTTAGGTTGCTTGACAGAATCCGTACAGAAAGAAAGCAATCTGCTTAAATTCTCAGTTGTAGAAAGGAATCAGCACTTGAACCAGAGGATAATGGGTAATGAAGTGTCACCTGGGTTAAGAGGATGGAGAAAAAACTCCTCGTTCGTGTAGCCCGTTGGAGGATGTTGGTTTCATTTCTGCATAAATATGGACATTAGAGTGAAAAACCATGCTGAAGATGACTGGGGCCTTAGACTGAGGAGCAGGCCTGGGGAGATATGACAGAGAGGAGAGATGCTGCCCCTCTGGAAGTGTACAAGGATTTTCTCCACAGAAGAGCATGCCAGAAACTTCTAGAAAAGAACCCCAGACACTGTAAAGGAACTGCAACCACTGGGGAGAGGAGGAAGCCTATGACTCCTCAGACAGGATAGGTCCTGATTAGTGTGGCCCAAGGGAGGGTCACTAGGTGCTGCTGTGTTCTTGCCTGCCCACCCCTGCTGATTCACAGAGGAATAAATGTCAGAGGCAGAAGGACCAGGGAAACATCTCAAGGAACATCAAGTTCTTGGCCGAGAAACCCGGGGCCTGCAGAGAGCTGGTGCGCCATTACATCTT